TTGGATAAAGAATAGCTAGTATACCTATTAAAATTTTAAGATGACATCATGTTGGATGGAAGAGCTAACACACTGGATGAATCAGGATCCAAAGGCTACAGCCTAGGGTTGAAATGTAGTAAGATGAAATTCAATGAGAACAAATGTAGTCATATTTGAGTTCAAAAAATTTTACTTCAGACATACAAGATAAGGAAGGAATGGTTTGAAAACAATTTATCTGAAAAAATTCTGTTAAGTTTTAAACAACTGCAAATTTGAAATGAATGATGTGGCAGCAGCAAAAAAAAAAAGATAATCGGGTTACATTGAGATTTATTTTTGTTGTTGCTCAGTTGTTTTCAGTTATGTTTGACTCTTTGTGACTGCTTTTGGGATGTTCTTTGCAAAAATAGAATAGTTTGCCATTTCCTTCTCCAGTTCATTTTACAGATGAGGAAACTGAGGCAAACAGAATTAAGCAATTTGCCCAGGGTCATACAGCTATAAGTATCTGAGGCCAGATTTGAACTTGGAAAGATGTCAGAAGTCTACTAAACATTTCTTTATTTGTTCTAGAATTTTCTGAGTTGTCAAGCTTATTAACCAATAGCTTGCAGTTTTTTCCCTTTTGTTTAAACTAGGACACTTACCCTTCTTCATTCTTTCATCCTAACTCCAGGCCTGGCACTTTATCCACTGCACCAGCTAGCTGCTCCATTGAGATGAATAGCTTCCAAAAATAAAGAGATGATAGACCCTTTGTACTCTAAAACACAAGGATATTGATAAAATGGAGAGCATCCATGAGAACAGCAAGCACAGCAAAGGGTTTTGAATTCTTGGATTATGAGAACTAAGGATATTAGAGGACTATCTGTTGGCATGGAGAAGACAGGAAGGACATAGCTGTATTTAGGATTTGAAGAGAAAACAAGTGGAAAATGGATTAGACTACTACTACCTGGCCTCAGAGAAAAGAACAAGGGGCAGCAAGTTGTGGAAAGACAAACTTAGGCCTGCTGTCAGTATTTCTGGACAATTACAGCTGTCCAAAAGTGAAGTGGGATGCCTAGAGATCTTTCGAGTAGAGGTCTGATCACTGGTCAAGATGAATGCGAAGGTTCCTTACAATCATCAAAAACAAACAAAAACTAACAAACAAACAAAACCAAACCCTAGCGAACACTTTCCTTAATGTACTATAAGGACATAGCAGAGAAAGAGATGGCACAGAGAAACTGCAGTGTGGCATCCCTGCAGTCAAAGGAGGAAAGAATATAGCAAGGGTTGAACATTCACCTCTGCTTAACCACCATTCCAAATCTCTCTCCTCCCTTTTGTGGGTAAACTCTAGGAGGCTATTCATATCTATTTACTTTCCTCTCACTCTTAACTATTTACAGTCTGGCTTCTGATCTCACCATTCAACTGAAGCTGCTATCTCCAAAGTTACGAACAATTCCTTAATTAGCAAAGCTAACAGTCTCTTCTCAGTTCTCAAACTTCTTAACCTCTCTGTAGCCTTTGGAACTGTTGATCATCGTCTTCTCCCTGATGCTCTATTCTAGTTTTTTGTGACACTCCTTTCTCTTTCTCCTCCTCCAAGCCAACTGACCACTCCTCAGTCACCTTTGCAGCATCTTCACCCAGGTAACACACACTAGGTGTACCTTTTTTTGGTATTCAAAGCCATTTTTAACTTGCCTCTCATAGCTTTTTAGTTTTTATACACCACATTCCCCAAAATATTCTGCAATCCAGTGACACCGGCTCACTGCTATTCCTCAAATAAGACCCCAATGTCTAGCTCTATACGTTTTTCAACTGGTTGCCCCTCATATCTGGAATGCTCTCCCTCACCTCCCTCACCACCACCTGACTTCAACACCCACCTAAAACTCCATCTTCTATAAGAAGCCTTTCCCAATCTTCTTTAATTCTACTGCCTTCATTTTGTTGACTATTTTTCCTGTATATAGCTTGGTTGCACATAGTTTGTATTAATTAATTAGTGCCTAACTCTACAGAAGTTAGAAGATAAGAAGAGGATTAGAATAAGAACTGAAAAAAAAATCAAACAAAAATAAGGGACATTGGATTTCACAGTAACACTGACTGGGCTAGAAGGTGCCTTGGAGGCCATCTAATACAACCCTCTCACTTTACATAAGAAGCACACAGAGATTAAAAATTACTTGTCCAAAGTCACATAGGTAGTAAGGAGCAGGAGTAGAAGAATTTGAACACAGGTCCTATGACTCCAAATCCAGTACTTTCCCCCCCCCATTGTACCCCACTGATTTGGTGATTAGTCATTGGCGACCTTTGAAAACAATTTCAGAAGACTGATAGAGGGCCAGAAGATAGGTTACAAGGGTTTAATTGAGATATTAAGTGGCAATAGAGTAGAAACATTCAATGTAGACTTTTTCACAAATCTGGGGGTAAAGGGAGTAGGAAATAAACACCTATTAAGTGCCTATCACTTGCTAGTCACTGTGCTGAGTTTCACAAACATCTTACTGGACCCTCATAACAATCATATGAGGTAAGATGAGGTAAGTGCTATTATTATTCCCATTTTATAGTTGAGAAAATTGAGGTTAAATGCCTTGGTCAGAGTCACACAGCTAGTCCAAATCCATACAGCTGTATTTGATCCCAGGTCTTCCTAACTCAAGCTATCTTCAAGTCCTCAAGGCCCAGCACTCTATCTAATGCACTGTCTGTAAGAGTAAGATTAAGACAGAGGGCAGTAGTGAGATGAGGTAAAAGTATCTCAAGTGACACTTTTTTTTGGGTTAGGGAGACGAGTATATTTTAGGTAGATTAAAAGGAACCACAGGTTAGGAAAGATGATACTGAAGAAACTTGCTGAACAAAGTTGTAGAGAGCAAGAAGATGAAACTAGGGGTGCAAGAATAGATTAGAGGACAGTGTATGATATGGCTAAGAAGTTTTGAGGAGTGAAGCATAGGTCACTGGATCATAGATTTAATACTAGAAGGAACCCTCAGAGGCCATGTAGTCTAAACTTTTCATTTTGCAGATAACGAAAATGAGTCTTAAGCAGGTCAACTTTCCTAGGGTCACATGAACAGTGAACATAAGACAAGATTTGAGCCCATGTCCTCTCACACTAGATACAGGTTTTTCTTTGAGCTCCCTTTAGATGGCCTCAGTCTTCTTAATAAAGAAGCCAGGTCATCTGCTCTAGGTATAATGTAGGTGAGAGAAGAGAGGAAAAAGGTTCTATCTCAATAATGAGACAGGACTTTCTGGCAGCTGTCAAGAGCCTTCTCTTAAATATAGTAGACACGTAATAAATACTTGGTAAATTTGATAAATGTTGTAGGTAAGAATGTTAACTTTTTCTGCTACCATTTAGTGACACAGGAATAAGACTTATGAAATGCAGAATAGCAGAGATTAGGTATGAGGATTAGGAGGTCAAGAATAATAAGACAAATGAGGAACTCCAGAATGGCTAGTGACACATTAAAGTGAAGATTATGCAGTCTAGGCCAGCTGTAGCCAAAACATTAAGCCAGAATGAGGGAGACAAACTGGGTAAATAGGTAGCAGTAAAGAAACTATTATTCATGAATGAGAACAAAACAGGTGTTGAAAATGAGGCAGAATTTATGATCAGAGTGAAGTTATGGATATTAGAGGATATGAAATCAAAGTCTTGATCATACTAATGTGTGACTGAAGTTAGGTGGGAAAAAATTGGTTCCCGGAGTTCAAGACATTGTGGAATTGTGTAATCAGGGTAGTAAAGGCGTTTTCAAAGTGGTGCTTGATGTAGGAAAGAATACTCAATGGATTTAGGTTTGAATCCTGGCTCTGTCAATTATTACTTGGGCAAGTCAGATACTTTCCAGACTTCATTTTTCTCATGAAAAACAAACAAACAAACAAAATAGCAAAAGTCTGAGGCAGAATTGTTTCAATGTTACATCTGTCTTCCTATCACTTTAATTTTAGGACACAAATTTGATTTGGGAACTACATTGACTGTAAACATTAAAATAACTGGACTATGGCAAATGTTTAACAACACATGTTTACTGAATGAAAACTGTCAAAATACATAGCTACCTTAGGTAACATCAACTTCAGATAACAAAATCACCTTTGATATCAACAAGAAATTATCCTTCAATGATCTATTCTACATAATTCTAAGAGATCAAATGAACTACCTATATGACATCTACTGCCAGTCACTAAAATATGCTTTTCATTTCATATCCTGTGAAACTATCCCAGGAGATAGAAATAGCCTTAACTATTTTACTAATTGGGGGGGGGGGGGGGGAATTCCCCATTAGAATGGAAATTACATATCCATTTGAAAGACTTCTAAATAAAAATGTAAATAACTAATTGACTCTTTTCCTCTTTCACTACCTGTATACCGCCCAGGAGGACTCTCAGGCTTTAACTTCTTTTTTTAAAAAAAAAATTTTTTTTAAAGGCAACTGGTGTTAAGTGACTTGCCCAGGGTCACACAGCTAGTAAGTGTCAAGTGTTTAAGGCCAGATTTGAACTCAGGTCTTCCTGACTTCAGGGCCGGTGCTCTATCCACTGCACCACCTAGCTGCCCCCAGGCTTTAACTTCTATCCATCCTAACTACTTACTAGGTCACTTTCTTCAAACTGATTCAATAACTCTTCTTTTTATTTTTCCTCACAATTTTCTTGAGCAGAAGCTCAAGTCCTAGTCAGAGAGACAGACACACACATACCCCAGCAACAGTCCAGGGCTGCCCAGTCTCCCAGCCTTCCTTCCCCATAAGTAAAGCAGGTAAAGTTAGACAATGTGATGCAGGAGGGGTGATAGTGGAATATTAATGAGTTTCTGCATGTTTACACTCCTTCATAAGCTGCAAAAGGCTTTAATAAGGATGCACAAGGTGATATATCTAGGTTGTGATAAATGTATCTTCAACTCTTTGATGAAAGTGTTATTTGGTTGTTGTTGTTTGACCAA